CTTTCAACACCTGCAACACGTTTCAGTACATACAATAGTTCCAGCTTCTGCATCTACTTCAATGATAGAACAGAACAAATGATGCTCATGATGCATCAACCGGTAGCAGAACTTGAATATCATCAACCTACAACTGATGGCCCACAGTGACTTTGAGTGTACCACAATGGAACATTAAGACTTACAGAAACACTGCTCTTTTTTGTAAAATTATATATGTTTTTTTAGTTACTAGATAGCTAACTAATAAGTCCTTCCGGCATGTATATTTAATGTTTGACTTTGGTGCTTAACTCTCTAGCAACGGGTAATTTGGAGAGTGGTAGGCCTCATTTCCAGGCAGTATCAAAATCGGCGCACAGGCCAGTCCGGGGACCTTCCCGCGTGCAAGTGCAAGCTCTGATCTTGTGCCATTTTTATAGCCGTGGGAGTTTATTAAAGTTTACCCTATAAATCAGATTGCAATGAGTGTTATTCCAAATATTTTCATGAATGTTCGATTTTTTAATAATTTTCCCAATAATTCACTGTCCAAGGATAGACAGAGGAACATGCTTAGGGAGACAATTGCAATAGTCCGCAAGGACGTGCATGAGTTGTAATTGTCTTAGATAGCAGGAGATTAAAGTCTACGAGAGATAAGCATTGTGCAGAACTACACAGAAGCAAAAGGTGTCGCAGTTCGTAAGAATGTCTTGAACGACTAACTTCCTTGGGAGAAAATGAAAATGCAACAATGCAGAGTTCAACAGCGTGCAGTGCAGTAGTGCATACAGTATACGTCTGACTAATAGTGAATGTTCTATCTCATTTCATTGAAATTGTCTATCACTCGTCACCAACAGTAATTTGAGGCAAAATGATAATGAAAACTGGTAATGCAGTCCTTATACTTCAGGAGCAATTCATTACATCAATTATGCTTTCTCAGGACAACATATACACGATAAAACGTAATGCAAGACAAGAATACACGATTGGCGCAAGTCGATTATCTTCTCGGAAACAGTACGCATGTAGTTCTTGTGCAATTAAAGGGTTTCTGCAGGACGATGTGCGCATGTGGCTGCGCGAGTGGTTAGTATACGAGTTTTAGTGAATCGATGAATTATGAAATGAGTAAGTCAGAGTATAGCACAGGAGTAGAAAATAGAACACTGATAGATATTTTGTTAGTCATTAGTAATTTGTCAAAGTAAAAGCGAAAGTGAGCATTAAATGAATAGGATGGCGTGGAAGTTGAAAGAAAATAAGTGAAGGGGAGGAGGAGTGGGTGGGCGGAAGGAAGGAGAGGGGGGAGAGGTAAAGGAAGTATGGGTGAAGATGGGGGGTGGGGTGTAGTATGTAGGGTGGGTTGGGCAATGTTCACGCCATAAAAAGGGGGTGCAATGTGGGTTGACGCCATGAAAATAATCGTCGACTGACTGCACGAAAAAAAATTACATATGTAATAACAATAAACTTACGGCATTGCAAATATTGATCAAACTACTGTGCGAAATCCATATCTAAAAATGGTACTTTAAATAGTACGTAAAATGAATGAAACGGTGACTGGTCTGTTGCAGAACAGACCAAAATTGCAGAGCAACGCATGATGCAAGCGGTTTTGGGTCAGCTTCCCTTATCTGACAGCCTAAAGACAACCCTCGTGGTTGTAAATGATACTTAAAATAAATTCCCTAAGGAAAGTGATGATGGACCCAACCGTAGAAGTGATATATCATCGACGATATACACAGAACGCTAATTGGACATCCCATCTTTTTTGGGGAATACCAGTGATAATCTCTCATGTATAGTCTTATAAGAAGGCGTGGCGCTGAGATCGCCTCTAGCGATAAGTGTGCAGCTTGGCACATACAGGACAACTTAACATTGATTACCTTAACGCTAATTACATGTCCATACCCAGCTGGGGGTCATCCCCAAGGACCATGTAATAATGATGAGGTGAGGCTTGTGATTAAGATTGATTAATGAAGAAAATATTCAAAAATTAGGTTGGCATACTAACGATTATTGTATTAAGGCAAATAAAGGGAAAACCATAAGGATGACCGAGGCAATTTTGCATTTTTTGATAACTCATGAAAGAAAGCAAAAATCACGAACAATATGAAATCGTAGTAGCTGTATAATATAATTAATCTCTAACACGTAGATAACAGAATTAAAATGTAAACACAAATAGCCTGAATGTAATTTAAGTCAGACAAAATCAGATGGTAGGAAAATTCAATAATATTGTGAAAAAACAAGTACACAATAATCTAGAAATTAAATAATCAAATCACCAATAAATGAAATAAAGAATTTACCAATTGTGAATAATTAAAGAAAAAATATATCTATAAATAAGATGAATAATTTTGGCGAAAAATATATGCACAAATATACTATAATAATAACGTAAAATTATACAATTTAGTTCAATGAATTATGCTAACATTATTACAGTCCCCAATATATTAATGCAAACCGGAAGTAAATTCATCACTCTATCGTAAATACGTCGATAACGGGATAATGATAGATTCACAAAATTATACATGTATAAATAAATAAATCGAGGCTAATACAGGTCATTAAAAAGTGAGGGATACACCGTTTGACAGGACCTGACCTGATTTCACCTGAACAACTATGTGTCAAGTGGCTCGCAAAAAAAAAAGAGTATAACGCTTGTATGTATAAGAATAACTGAATTCGATATTCATTTAATAACACAAATAAACAAGACGCACTCTGTTTGTATAATTATATATACGAAAAGAAAACAACATATAATGTTCAAAGCTTAACTTCAAAATATTATCAGGTAATAAACCTAGGAATCACAAGACAGAAAAGGTCATTAAGACATGTCATCAGCTACCAAATATAATGCATTCTTTTAAAAGAAATACTATTTTAAGTAAATATCACGACGAAAAATAATTGAGTGCTACACCTTGGCCTGTACAGAAATATTGAAAATAGGTAGAGAGGGAAGGGAGATAGTGTGGATGGGGTTTAGGGGAGAGGGAGGTTAGGGGACTTGTGTAGGTGGGAAGCGTGCAGGAAGTGAAAAGTTTGTGCATAATTCAACAAAATTATTTAAATATTCAAAAATATCCCACAAATGCATAGTTAAACCGAGCCTAAATAAATGCACTGAACAATAATGGAAGAAATTAACGTCGATATAGTGTCGGTTTATACAATGGGAGATAATAAGAATAAGAAAAAAAAACAAAAATATGGCAATTTTTATAACTCTAGCCACTAGCCTAGAATGTCCGTAGAAACAGAAAATAATTTCGAGAAAATGCATGTTATATTTCACCGACATGAATAAAAGATTTAAGTATTATAAACGATTTATGCTAACTAGGTTAGTATGTAAAAAAAATCACTGCACTTGTAAAAAAAATATCTTACGGCATGCCCACATAAGCGAGGAGAGGGGAAAGAAAGGAAATGGTTTCCCATGGTGAACTTACAGTTTTTCAGAGGAGGCTTGTGGTTCGCGATATTCCGCCGTCTGCCACCAGTTGTCAGGGTTTTGTTTTTTTGCCTGACTGATGGGTTATGGAGACACAATTCTGGTTTCTTCCTTTATTTGTTGAGATGGTAGGTATCGTGGTGTGGGCTGTCTCGTGCAGTTGGGCAAAGGGAGCCCAGGGCCATGTCGAGCAGTAACGCGCGTGTGGGGGGGCCCCGAGCCCCGGGAGGTCTGGTCAGGGCTGAGAGCCCTGGTCAAGTGTCCTGTTGCTTTCAAGAGAGGGTCTGGAGTCCCAAGCGTTTGGGGACGTGGGAAGACAATCCTTACTCCTCAGACACTCTCTCTCTCTCTCTTCCTCTCTGTCAGGGTTTTTGTGTTGCCCTGATTTGGTGGGTTATGGAGACACAATTCTGGTTCAGCTGTTTATTGATAGGAGGTGGCTGGTAGGTAGCGTGGCGCGGGGGTTGTTTGGGCAAGGAAGCCCAAGAGGGGCACGAGCGGCGCGCGTGGGGGAGCGCCCCCAAGGAGAGGTGTGGTCAGGGCCGTGGGCCCCGGTCAAGTGTGCTGGGTCAACTGTCTTGTGGCTTCGAGCGCTGGTCGCGGGTCCCTAGTAGTGGAGACGCGGAAAGGTAACCCTTGTTCCTCAGATCGCTCGGCATACGCTACTAACCGTCGCCCCCGACGGGATGGAGCTGGCTTTCTCTGAAAAAAAGCACACCAGAGGCAGAGACAGGGCGAGAGACAGGAGAGCAAACAGGGGGGGGGGGGGGAATTGTGTTTATATCAGGGGCCGTAAGATATAATCAAATATATCAGATTGCAAAGATTGTTATTACAAATATTTTCATGAATTTTCAATTTTTATTATTATATTTTTTCAATAATGCACTGTCCAAAGATAGACAGAGGAACATGCTTAGGGAGACAATTACAATAGTCCGCGAAGACTTGCTTGAGTTGCAATTGTCTCAGATAGCAGGAAATGAAAATCTACAAGAGATAAGCATTGTGCAAAACTACAAAGGAAGCAAAATGTGTCGCAGTCCGCAAGGACTTGTCTTGAACGACGAACTTCCTTGGAAAAAAAAATGCAACAATGCAGAGTTCAGAAGTCTGCAGTGCAATAATGCATACGCTATACGTCTGACTAATAGTGATTGTATCTCATTTCATTGAAGTTGCCTATCACACGTTACCAACAGCAATTTGAGGCAAAGCAATAATGAAAACAGGTAATGCAGTCCTCATATTTCGGGAGCAACTCATTACATCAAAATATACTTTCTCAAGACAACATTTGCACGATAAAACGTAATGCAAGACAAGAATACACGATTGGCGCAAGTCGGTTATCTTCCGGAGACAGTACGCATGTAATTCTTGTGCAATTAACGGTTTTTTTGCGGGACGATGTGCGCATGTGGCTGCGTGAGTGCGTAGACGAGTTGAGTTAATGGATGTGTTATGAAATGAGTGAGTCAGAGTATAGCACACGAGTAGAAAATAGAATGCTGATAGATTTTGTTAGTCATGTAAGTAAGGCGAGAGTGAGGAAAAAAGGAATAGGATGGGTGGTGGAGTTGGAAGAAATAAGCGAAGGGGAGGAGGAGTGGGTGGCGGGAGGCTAAGGATAGGGTGGGGGGGGTTTAAAAGAGGTATGGGTGAGGATGGGGGGTGGGGTTAGGTATGTCAATGTGGATTGCGCTTAATGAAAATAATCACCGATCTGACTGCACGAAAAAAAAAACATTCACACTAATACAAGAACTTACGTTAATTGGCAATATTAATCAACTACTATGCGAAATCATAAAAATGGTACTTTAATTAGTACATAAAATGAATGAAACGGTGACTGGTTTGGGTCGGCTTCCCTGAGACAACTGACCCGAAAGACAACCCTCGTGGTTGTAAATGGTACATAAACGTAAGATAGATTCCCTGAGGAATAGTGATGAAGGGCCCAACCGTAGAAGGGATATCATCGAACGAACTCATACGCAGAACGCAAATTGGGTATTCCATCTTCATGGGAATAAATCCAGCGATAATCTCTCACGTACAGTCGTATAAGAAGGCGCGTGGCGCTGAGATCGCCTGGGCGATAGGTGTGCTGCATGGCACAAGAACAACTTAACATTAATTACCTAAACCTAATTACATGTCCATA